CTGGCCCCCCTTGGAGGCGCCAGGCTGTAAGACTCCGTGCTGGAGTGCTGTTGCGCAGGTGTCTTGTCTTGCCTTGCCTTGCGCAGGTGTTCTAGCTTGTGCCCTAAGAAACAATGCTGGGTCTGTCTCTCGCACTGGTTCACCTCCCACGACCTTCTCTGGCTTGGCCTCCTTCGGCTCGCCTGTTGCTCCCCCTCGGGCGGGTGGCAATGGGGGGTGACCCACATGGGGGGTGAAGCAAAGGGCCCTGAAGGGGCCCTTTAGGGCCCCTTTCGGGCACCAGCTGGCTCGAAAAGAGGCCCTAAAGGGCCCCTTCAGGGCCCTCTCCTTCACCCCCCATTTGGGTCACCCCCCATTACCACCCGCCCGACCCCTGTCTCCGGCACCTCTTCCACGGCTGCTTGGCCAGCTCTGCCTGCTCGGCCTCCTGCGGCTGCCCGCCCCGCTGCCCCCGCCACTGGCCATCTTGCCATCTTTCGGATGTTCGCTCGGCTTCCTACGGCTTGGCTACATGGCTCTCCGTCTCGCTTCCCGTCTCCCGTGGCCTTGTCTTTGGCACTGTTTCCATGACTACTTGGCCTCCTGTGGCATTTTTACGGCTTGGGCCTTCCTCCCTCCCCAGTGGCTTCCCGCCCCATCTGGCCCTATTGCTGGTTGGCCTCCTCTGCCTGCATAGCCTTCGACGGCTGCTTGGCCTCCATGGCAGCTGGGCCTCCTGTGGCGTGGCCTCAAGTGGACCCCCATGACTTCACACAGCACTCCAAGAATCAAGTGCTCTGGGGCCCATACACTGGCAGCATTGTCCTGCCTACTACTGTCTCAAGAAAACAGTGCCTCATGCATGCTGTCCACCAGGAAGCAGCCACGGCGCCAACAAAAAGCTCTCGGAGCATGCCCCCTCGGGCCCCCAGGCCGCCGCGGGTTGCCCCTGGACTCCCACGAGGACGCCACCGGAGCGTACCAAGAGCGCCCACATAGGACCCCAAGAGCCCAAGACGGCTCCAAATGTCCCCAACTAGGGAAGCCCAAAGGTACCGATACCGCTACTCCCCGGACCGAGGAGGAGCGAGGAGGAGCGAGGAGGAGCGAGGAGGAGGAGGAGGAGGAGGAGGAGGAGGAGGATGAGGAGGAGGAGGAGGAGGAGGAGGTGCGTTCTGACCAGAATTTCGAGGCGAATCCAGCGGTGGCGACGAGGGGCCTCGCAGGAGACCCCAAAAAGGGGAAAACGAGGGAAGGGTCGCGGTATGAGGGCTCCCAACTTCGCGCTTCGCGCTCCGCGAAGCGCGAAGCGCGAATAACTTCGCGCCCTCGCGCCGCCCCCCCAAAGGGAGAAAAGGAGGACGAGGAGGAGGGGGGAGAAGGAACGAGGAGCGCGAAGCGCGAATAACTTCGCGCCCTCGTGGGAGCCCTTGGGTATGGGTACCTTTTCCTCCTCTGACTAACGCGACCTTGAGACGGTCAACGAGGGCCCGAAGAACCTGCCAAAGTGGCACCACGACACTCCGAGGGCAGTCGGTTTCGGTTGCACTTCGTGTCATGCGGGGCGCGCGTGCCGGCGAGGCGAAGCTGCGCGAGGGCTGAACAAATGCCAGGCTAAACGGGGAAAACTGAGGTCAGATTGTTCCGCCCTCCTGCTCCAGCGGGCGGTGGCTCCAAAATTGCTATGCAATCATCCCGCGGCTGTCCCGTGGTTTCTCCGTGGTTATCCTGCGGCTTTCCCGTGTTTGTCCTGTGACTGTCTCGTGGTCGTCCCGTGGTGGTTGTACCATGGTGCCTTGTGAATAATGATCCCGATGGTCGTCCTGTGGTTGCTCTGTGGTTGACACATGATTAACCCGTGGTCATCTGGTGGCTGTCCCGTCCCGTGGTTGTCCTGTGATTGTCCCGAGGTTGTCTTGTAATTGAACCGTGGTTGCTCCGCGTTTGATTAATGGTTAGTTCGTGCTTGTCGCGTGGTTGCCCCGTGTTCTGTGGTTGCTAAGCTGTCAATTCCGATCATTATTCTGACGGCTGTCCCGTGGTTGTTCCGTGTTTGCCGTGTGGTTGTTCCGCGGTCGACTCGCTTGTTTAGGCGGATGGTCCAATGGTTGTTCCGATAATTGCCCCACAATCGTTCATTGGATGGTCGGTGGTTGTCCTGTGGTTTCGCAGTAATTTCGTGATTGCCAAGTGTTCTGTGATTCCTTCCTTCGTTGGTTGTTTCGATTGGTGGTCCGAGCGTTGTTCCGAATGCTGTCCCGTGGTTACTCTGTCGTCGTCTTGTATGTGTTCCGCTGGTTGTTTAGATGGATGTTCCAACGGTTGCTCTGATGGTTGCCACGAAATTGACACATGCTTGTTATGTGGTTGTTCCGCGGTTGCCTCGCTGGCTACTTCGATGATTGTTCCGATGATTGCCCCATGGTTGATCGGTGGTTGCCTCGATGGCTGATCCGTGGTCATTGTGTGGTTGTCCCGCGGCTGTCCCGTGGCTGTCCAGTGACTGTACTGAGGCTGTTTTGTGGGTGTTCTATGCTTGTCCCACGGTTGCTCTCTGATTGTCGCATGGCTGTTCTGTGGTTGGCCCGTGCTTGTCCCGCAGTTGTCCCGCGGTTGCCCCGTGTTTGTCCCATGGTTGTCCAACGGTCAGTGGTTGTCCCGCGGTTGCTAGATAGGCAGACAAGGACATCGATAGATAGGGAGATCGATAGACAGATACCGAGATCGTTCGATAGCGAAGCCTTTCCGACGCCGAAGCGAAAGCTACACCACATCCCGTCCCCCGCGGCCTCCTTCTCACCCAAAGGGTTGCCCTATCGGAAAGCAGATGGCGCCCTTGGGGATCCATCAAGCCGCGTGGACAAAGTTTCTGTCCCGTGCATTCAGTCACCAGTTCCTCGGCTCTGGTAGCAGTTCCCCGTTTCAAGGGTGTCAAACGTTTCACGTCGCTGCCCTTGCTCCAAAACTGAAGGGTTGCAGAACGCGCGACCCCCCAATCGAAAAGCATCCCACTACCGCCTCGAATTCCCTCAGGCACTGGGTGCCCTGGGATGGTTCTGCGTCCCCGAAATCATAACTCCTTGTGCATTCCAGCGCGCTCACGCCCTCGAAGCCACAACCCCTGCAGTCAGCCAAACCTTATCGGGGAGGTTTCGGGTCCAATATCATGTTCTGAACCTCGCGCACGGGCGCGGGCGGACTGCCCACAGTTGGGATCGAAGCATGCATATAGTGCTAGGAACACCGCCCCCAGGCCCGCTCCATCCCCTCCGACCTTGCACTCGCCTGGTAGTGGGGGTCAGACTACTGGTGGGTCAGAGTCAGGGAAGGGCAAACTAAGGAAAACTGATTGCCTCAGAAGAATACTGGGTTGGGCCAAGTATTTCCGGAGAAATTGCCTAGGAAAAACAAGGAAGGAATCGCTTTTGATACAAACATGCGACCCCTTGTAAGGAAACTCCGCGAAATTGAGCTTACCCTTTCCTGACCCCCAAAAGACCCCCAGTACCAGGCGAAGGAACTGTCTGAACATTGCTCAAATCCCCAAGCGGGGCGTGGCTCCAACCCTCAATTTTTGCGAGGGGGGATGCTCCAGCAACTCGAGCCGACAACACGACTGCGTTCAGGCCGTCGAACGTTACGAAAGAAAGCCCTCCAGCCGCCCACGGCATGGATTCCAGCCCTTCACTTGAACGAAGAAGAGAGAAAGTGTGCTCCAGCAGCTCATGCCGACAAGACGAGTGCGCTCCAGCCTTCAACTATCACGCCAGAAAACGCTCCCGCCGCCCACGGCGTGGATTCCGGCCTCGTCTTTTACGAAGGAAAATGTTCCAGCCGCTCATGCCAACAAGACTAATGCGCTCTGGACTTTGCTTTGATGTGCTCGCGGCCCTCGCGCGAATTTGGCGGCTGTCGCGCGAAGGGGCAGCTAGAACGAACCGCGACTCAACTACGGCCTCAATTACCTCAATTCAATTAGCCGAGTAGACGAATACACCGCGTCCACATTCTCACTAGCAAAATCGTCCACTAACCATAGTAAATTGCGATGCACTCGCGCTCCCGAAACCACATTGTTCCCAACCCTCGTTTTGAATAGAGCACTGTGATCGCTTCCTTCTCCTTCTTCTCCCGCCTCCCCTCTCCCGTCTCCCGCTTCCCTCTTGTCTGCTCATGCCTTGTGCGGACCTCGCCATCCCTGGGGGGGCTGCGATCTGCGACGCTGTCGCCACTTTCGAGGGCTGCTGGTGGGTCCTGCGGACTGAGGCACCGCGGGGACCTGCTGGGGGGCTGCGATCTGCGACACTGTCGCCACATTCGAGGGCTGCTGTTGGGTCCAGCGGAGCTAGGCACCGCGGGGACCTGAGCGAGACCTCGCCGTCCCTGGGGGGGGGGCTGCGATCTGTGACACTGTCGCCACTTTCGAGGGCTGCTGGTGGGTCCTGCGGACTGAGGCACCGCGGGGACCTGAGCGAGACCTCGGCGGTCCTGGGGGGCTGCGGTCTGCGACGCTGTCGCCACTTTCGAGGGCTGCTGGTGGGCCCTGCGGACTGAAGCACCGCGGGGACCTGAGCGAGACCTCGCCCTGGGGGGCTGCGATCTGCGACGCTGTCGCCACTTTCGAGGGCTGCTGGTGGGTCCAGTGGAGTGAGGCACCGCGGGGACCTGAGCGAGACCTCGCCGTCCTTGGGGGGCTGCGATCTGTGACACTGTCGCCACTTTCGAGGGCTGCTGTTTGGTCCAGCGGAGCGAGGCACCGCGGGGACCTGAGCGAAGCCTCGCCGTCCCTGGAGGGGCTGCGATCTGCGACGCTGTCGCCACTTTCGAGGGCTGCTGTTGGGTCCAGCGGAGTGAGGCACCGCGGGGACCTGAGCGAGATCTCGCCGTCCCTGGGGGGGGGCTGCGTTAGTAACCACTACGACGCCCTTATATCTTGATCGGGGGCCTGCGAGCCTTCCGATTGCTGTTCGCAAGACCAAATGCGTCCATGTTACGTCATCGCCCCCGTTGTAGCAATCCTG